CCCCCCCCCCCCCTCACACCTGTCATTTCAATTGCTTGGCTGCCAGGGGTACAGAGTGCGGCTAGGTACATCCCTCAAGACACTCATTTCATTATATGTCCCTCTTTACACATCTCTCAACACACTCATTTCATTATATGTCCCTCTTTACACATCTCTCATCTCACCCATGTCATTATATATCACTTTTTACACATGTCTCATCTCAATCCATATGGCTCTACGAAAGTTCTAAAGCAAAAAAATTGCCTACGTATTTTTTAGTGAACAGAATGAGGAAAAAACAATTGCGAACATGGAAAATAAAGTTAGTTTTCTTTTGAAAATAAAGTTAGTTTTCTTTCTCCCTAACTCTCTACTACCTACAGATAAGATGTCTAAAACGGATATATGAGCCCATAATATATAGATAATGCCTGCCTGCCTGCCTGCCTGCCTGCCTGCCTGCCTGCCATCCATCCATCCATCCATCCATCCATCCATCCATCCATCCATCCATCCATCCATCCGTCCGTCCGTCCGTCCGTCCGTCCGTCCGTCCGTCCATCCGTCCATCCGTCCATCCATCCATCCGTCCGTCCATCCATCCATCCATCCATCCATCCATCCATCCATCCATCCATCCATCCATCCATCCATCCATCCATCCATCCATCCATCCATCCATCCATCCATCCATCCATCCATCCATCCATCCATCCATCCATCTATCTATCTATCTATCTATCTATCTATCTATCTATCTATCTATCTATCTATCTATCTATCTATCTATCTATCTATCTATCTATCTATCTATCTATCTATCATCAATCAAACACACATCCAGTCAATCAAACACACAATCAGTCAATCAGGCACACAGTCAGTCAATCCAACACACAATCAGGCATCAACACACAATCACACAAAAAAATACTCGACACTGAGACTAAGCTTCTAAAATTTTAATCACTAAAATACTGGACAGAAAGTGGACACTATCAAAAGTAAACTCCTTATGTAGTGGCGGTTGTCAAACTAATAGACAATGCACGTGGTCAAAATACAAGCTAATACACAATACATGTGGTCAAAATACATGCTAATACACAATACACGTGGTCAAAATACAATCTTATACAAAATACACGTAATCAAAATACAAGCTAATACACAAAATACGTGGTCCAAATACAAGCTAATACACAATACACGTGGTCCAAATACAAGCTAATAACACACATATCAGTCATAGTCTGTTACACATTGAACTGTTTCTTACCATCAGGCAATGCACACTTCGCGTTGCCATGAAACAAACAAAACAGTAATACACATGACATCAAAACGAACGAACTCAAAGCTGACGCCGTGACATCATATTTAAACATCTAAAAGTAGAATCATTACAAAATATTTATTAAAAAAAACCAACAAAAAAACAAGAGCAATTCAATAGCGATTCGAATGCTCCTATTAAAAAGATAAAGTTAATAAAAAAAAGATCATATGCTGCATTGGTTGGTAAACAAAGGTTAAAGGTCAACCATTGGTGCTAGATAAAAAAATGTCCTGCTCAGTTCATTGTGACCATGCATTCTCTCATTGCTCCCAACAGTAGAGCCGCACAGAGGAAAAGTGGGATACGCGCAATTCTAGTTAGTGACTAGTATGTTTAATAATTTGACAGCTTTCACAGAGACTCTAAATTTCTTATGAAAATTCTTCTTTCAGCTCAAAATGTTTTTATTATTTTTTTTATATAAGTTGCCTAAAACCCTTTTTTAAAAAAAAATTTGACAAGATTTGAATTTTAGAAATAAATCTATATATTTTTCAGCTCTTCTGCCTAATTTTTTAAAGACTAAATTTTCGTTTCATAAAGATTTTTTTTTTTTCAAGTTGGGCATATTGGTTTAAGTATAGCAATATATCTGTGAAGATATTTAAATGAAACTCTAAAACTTATTTATGTCATTATTTAG